GCAGCATACACTCGACCCTTCACAGACAGCCGGATGTCGCGACGGCGTCACAAATGTCTCGAGTTTGCAAATGCCAACCGAGCCTTTTGTATCCGCGCCGACACTTCATCTGTAATGCGTCCACCGGATGAGATGTAGCCGCCCAGATAACAAAACTTATCCACTTTCTCTATTACTTCCCAGTTAGAATGAGACTGGGTGCTGGACCAACCCAGTATTGTAGGAACATTTTACACTTTGAAGGTGCAAAACGCATACTGAACATGGATACACTAGGACTCAAGCTATCTAGAAAAGCTTGCAACTTACTTGGATCTTCATTTAGTAGCACAATGTCATCTGCATACTCTGGATCAGACAGGCTGCCCCCTGGAAGTAAATCAATACCACTATCCTCGCACGAGGATAGGGTTGTTTCAATCATTAAACTTATCATTAAGTTAAATAGAAACGGAGAGAAAGAAATCAACCCTGTCGAACAGCACTTTCCGTGGTGAACTCGGACTCGGTTTCAGCTATTGGTACAAAGCGCTTGTAATATTGAAATAAACTTCTCGGGCACACCCTTCAGGGAAAGGCAGCGCCAGAGTTTGGAGCGATCTACTGAGGTGAAAGTCGCTTTCAGATCCAGGAAGATATAGATGGTGGGTTTATGAATGTCGGTGCCCCAGAGTTTCGAGAAGAGTGAAGATGTGGTCGGTACAACCTCAACCAGGCCTAAAACCAGCCTGGTTCTCACGCGTGCACTCTTTGCGGCGGACAATCGAAGGAGTGAGAAGTTTAGGGACAATGTTGATTAAACTAATTCCTCTGTGGTTTTCAGAGGAATCAGTTTAAACTGTCGATTGAAAAATATCGTTCCTTGTCAGCATTCAGATAGGGGGTCACACTTTCTCTTACATTCAAAATGAAGATTTAACTAATCTATTCCATCAATCTTTACAATCGGTTATCAATCGGAAGTTCACGCAACTAAACGCAGAATGGTGCACAGTTGAAGTAGAAAACGCGTCCCCCGGCTCAATAACTTCCTGCTATGTGCACCAATTCCAACATAATCTATCAAGTTCAAGGTTGATGTGGAACACCTACATACACCTACATGGAGGGAACGGAAAGCAATAGCGTATTCGGATTTCAGACTACATTCCGAGCTGCGTTCTAAGCAATGTTGATATGTCAGTGTCCGCACGGTTGGTAATCAGCAAGGACCGTGCTAACAAAACACTAAACTCATCGATAATCAAGCTCTTGTTGATGGCGCAACACGTCGTTGATCGAGTGATTTGAGTAATTTGTATTAATGACAACACCAGAACGCTAAGATCTGGAAGGAGATTGTAATCAAACGATTGCAAGCAATTCTGTGTCGACAGTAGGGCTTGTTCATTGCGCTCGCTTCACCTTGAAGATCTTTCCGCTAATCACATTTGTTTATTTCGTAATCAATTCCCCAAAACTATATGGACGTTTTATTTTCTGCAGTATGCACCAGTTAAAATGCCGCAAAACTGTCCAGGACAGAAATCTTACAGACCTGCTATGCTGGCTTCTCCTTTCAAATTTATCACGGGAAAATTCTGTTTCAAGAAAAGAGGTAAAAATATGAAGAATGTAGGTAAATTAACCTGAGCGCACCAAAATTGACGCCACATTACACTCGACGAGAAAATGTGTATAGGAAACCAAACTTTGATATATGTTATTAAGGGACCCCAATATATGTTTAAAGATTTTCATCCGACAAAAATTATTCGGTACCGCATATCGATCTATTTTGCATTGATGTTTTCGCAGCCAATCCATCGGTAAGATGTGATTACGCTCTGTGTCCTGCACGCATAAACACTGAGTGACTGGTGACCCCAGCTGTTTGGACACTTGTTTATGAGAGCACTATTGGAATGCTCTATATTCTGGGAAATTTTTGACGAATCAAAAGTCAGCGCTAAAAGTATTGGAGCTTTTTATCGTTGAGAATCCCCAAGGAGGTCAGACGGATGGGACAGAAAATGCAGAGAAACCTAGCAGCAATTTGATGAAAAGTTAGTGAATTACTAAGCGGAAAGTGTTTGCCGTTGGATGTATCCTGGCTCACTGTTCTGCTTTCTGTGGCCTCTTCGTTTTCAGCTTAAAATTTAGTGTGAAAAAAACTTTGTACACGCTGCCGAATGATCAAGCATTAACCAAAATGAATACATTTTTGGAGGTAGCTCGTTATATGTTACAAGCTACTGACCGAGCAACATGCTGACAGACAAACATGAATCTCTAATTGCCCACTAACTAGAAATTCAGACTTTCTCTTCTAAGAGCAGAATAATCTAGTACAATCTCCCCCACGGTCGAAAAATATTTCATTTTCGCTCGGAAAATACGCGTGCAAGTTCAAGTTTGCTTGAAAGAGCTTCTCATGTGACAATTTTTAATTACCACTCCACGACCAAATTTCTGATGCAATCTACTTTTTTTTATATAAAACACTGCACAAATTGGATCACTTATAACGAAACCTGCAATAAAATCTAAGGTATCTAGTTCAATATCGTAAGGAATTAAAAGGTTTAGTAGAAATGCTCATCTAAAGACGCGTTCACTTCATGCACTTTTATATCAACGATAGTTCAACTCATAAACAATGGTATTTCTGTGTTACCAATTTGTCTTCACCAAATACGCTCATCTCCACTTAAAGCATTCTGTTTTTAAGTTTCAAAACGGACATCCCGCAGTACTCTCGTTTGCTGAAAAGTTATGAGCTAGGAACTTGACAAATATTTTTTTACCGTCAGTTGATGTTTTATGCCTGAACTAGGACAATAGAGTGAAAGGGATCTTCGCAGTAAATAGAAAAGTACTGATAAATGACTAGTCCCAATCGATAGTTCCACTGAACACGGTTCACGTTCTGTTATAGGAAGATAAGTTAACGATAATCTGATGGATATCTTAAAAAATATATCTTTTTAACGAATATCTTAATATGTTTTAGATTTGAAAATACAGTTTAAGTGAGAATGTTTATGTAAAGCTCAGGGACTAAAAACTGAGCACAGATTCAAGTGATTGATTTCAGGTTTCTTATTCGACCAGATATTTGCATGATGTGGAAGAGGGGGCATCGGTTCGCTGATAGACATGCATTTTCTCGTACCTGAACAGAGAAAGAAGACTCACCAAATGAATAATCCAAACCGAGCTCGCCATATAAATTCCAATACGGATAGTAAAATACATCACGAATCGCGGAGGAGTCGAACTCTGATCTATTCGGATACAGTAGCGCCTGGACAGATACACCGTACGAAAGAAGAATCACGGCCACAATGAACAGGAACAGGATAAGCTCGGCAATCATGCGTTGAATCATGACCAGTTTGGGACCCAGTGCCGGATGGAATCCGTACAGGCGAAATACGCGCATATAACAAACGATCACTGTTAGAAAATAAATGAAAATTCAGGTGAAATGAAAATGTTTTGTGTTGTTACTTCATAATTTCATAATTGATGACATTTCACAAACACTCAAAGTGATGACAAAATTTAGGCTGTATAAAGACAAACATGAACAAACGATTCCAATACGGATTTTTGAGTGAATTATAATATCGTAAACCCAGTAACATAGCAGGATGTTGATCTATATAACTATATACAGAATGGTATCATGTATTATTCAAACTGACTACAGCGGATGTCGTGCTGTTTTTCTGTTTGTGCTAAATACAGGGTTGGAAGCGTTGGATTGAAGTAGCTGATACACGGATTTGGCCTTTCTGTTTTTCAAAAAAATATTTTTACCACAGAAACAATAATTTTTTAATAGATTTATTTTCAGTTAACTAACTAGGTGGTAAATTTGGCCTAATCGATCTGTTGAGTAAAGTTCTCTCACTTGATGGAAGGCGAAGCGCGGTCATTGTCTACTGGACTAACACTCATGACTACAGGACCTATATTTAGTGCGATTTCTGCATCAGAAATTAAATTTTGAGCTTTGAACACTACCAGTGTTTCGAGACACTGAGTGATATTGCTGAGTGTCGCAATCATTGGTGTCCGTGCGTCTTCTCAATTTCTTCGCGTCATTAGTCCACTGAAATTCTCTATTTTCTATTCAATTCTACTTTCTTCTTTTCTCTGTTTATACTGTTCATCCAACCGGGCAGCCGTGAGACAGCAACCAAAACTGGCGCACAAAAGTGCATGGTTAATGGTTGTTCAAACTGAAAACTGAAACTGAACTTGCCAATAACGCTGCTACCGCTGAGTTTTGTTGTATCACGAATTATTGCTGCACCTATCCATTTGGTATTTCGTGCAGTAGTAGGTCAATGTAATTGGCGGGGCTCGGATTAAGGGCTTCTCCTAGTAAACTGTTCACCGTTTCACTTTTCAGCACACACAGTTGTGTACTACGGAATAATTCGTTTGATTTAGCTCTGGAATTTAATATGAGCTGCAAAAGTGGTAAAAGTACGTTTTGTATTTAAATAGTTTAATTTTACACAATCGCATCATTGTGTTTGGTTCTGTTCAATAACTTACGTGTTAATGCGTAGAATGTTTTGGCCACTGTGAATGTGGACGCCAAACCGATGCGCAGAAACATGCTCACTAATGCCAGTAGCATTGCAATGATATCCAGGTAGACAAGGGAATTTGTTTTAACCCACAGACGTAGTTTATAGCTGCCGGTGCCGGGTGTAACACAAATCTATAGCGGATGAGGTAATGCATGAAATAAAATAAAAATGTCATGCAAGTAGATCAAATGACACAATATCTGGTATTTTCTCTTAATCTTCCCTACTGGAAGCATTTTAGGAATTTAGGTGGGGCATTCTGAAGTACTTGATCTCCACAAAATTCTTTGCAAGTTTCATTTTTTCCCGTTATTCTTGTACCCTGCAACTCCACAGAATGATCAATAAAGTTTCTTGGATGAAGTAAGTTCAGACTTTTCCGATGCCTCTCCGCTGAGGGTGTCTATACAAATGTCGAAACAATCCTGAAAACGCTGCATTCTCAGTAGGGGTATTCCAAGTTATTGTAGTATTGTAACGCTTTGTCTTGTTTGGGTAATCGCACAAGAGATAGGAGTGTTTCGCTGCTGCGCCAACAAAAACCATCACCAAACCACGTGATCGATTGATGAGCTCATACTGCTACAAGTCAAACGTTTTTTACTGCTGTTAGTGTGTTTCCTTTTTGTTTCCATGATCTTTTGGGTCTTACGTCTAATACTTCGAATCTGTTTTCTGGCTCGGTTTCACTTAGATGAGAAACTTTCGGCGAAAAAGTTAGTTTTTCATTCTTTTGACTGACCAGATATGCTGCAGGAATTGGAAGATTTTACTACAGCATACATGAATGGGATAAATGCTTACCCTCCTATATACGCGCGCGTGCGGCATACATGAGTGCATATAGTCAGAAGAAAAGTTATCTAACTTACAGTAATCGATATATCGATTCATCTTTCGAGTGTGCATCCTGCTGGTGTCACCACGATTGATTCATGCCTTGCAGCTGACGTAAATACACATTCCTTTAGTTTGCCGTTGATCGAAAACTACCTCGCGTAGGTTTGCCATTATTCGTAGTATTTATCTGAACGTTAACTTACACAAATGTGCTCAACCAGTGATTCAGATTTTAATAGAAATGTACTCTGATGCGTGGTACTCACGGCTGGAAAAACTTTGCTAGATAAATTCACTTGAGATTTTTTGGATCATTTGGTTTCATATTTTAATGTAAGGTGGCGACATAAAGGGAAGGTTATTCAAGTATTTTCCGAGCTATGCAACGGCGCGATCTTGTACTGTTCTTTGGGGTGAGTCTTTTGCGCGTTTCAGCCGTACAGTAGTATCACTTGATACAGACACTCTTAAAACAGCTACTTGCTTTGTTAAAATGAAGCACTCTTACTCATTGTAACGACGCCACCAAAGGCTGAGCGACTGAAATTAACCGTGATCTTTCAAAAAATGGTACAGGAAAATAGCATAGGACACCCGTATTGTTCTGCATACTTTCGCTTCCAAGAAAACCATATTTGATTCGAAGGTCCGAATGCACAGTAATATATGCAGTACCACATTCCAGAAGAAAACTATGCGCCAAGTGCAAAAGAGTAGAGAATGTTAAAAACAGCGGGAGAGGGATGAGAAAATCAGAAATGTTACTGGGTCCTGGCAACAAGCTGACTGCCTTGGTACATAAACATGGTTGTTGAAACGTTTCCAAGACCCGGAATCACACGATTCACGTCTGAAGTGCACTCCCTTTGTGCAATTCAGTTGTGTTGGTTTCACAAATTAAAGGACTGATCACATAGAAATGTTGTGCCCAATGATACAGGAAAAGAAGGAAATGAAATTGGATAAGAGAGCATTCACATGCAATCGCCCTCTTTACCAGTATGTGAGATTCACTGGGCAGTGTGCATCGGAAAACAGAATAGCCGTCCTTAAAAATCTGACATCCAGATAATATTGATAAACTCTTCCTAACATTATTATGGATACTAAATGCTGTGGTCGGAATAGTTGCATTGAAATGAACGTTTAAAAGAACACTCAAAGCTGTGTTGTGGATGAAATGTAACAAAAAGAAATGATAGTTTCTTCTCACATGGCCACATGCAGGATAACGCTTTTGTGGGTTAAAAATACGTTCTATAAGCAACAAAGCTGAAAAATAGTTGATTTGGACAGACTAGTTGTGATAATTCTTTGTCGGCATGACACGATTAAGGCCTTTCAATCAGGCATACGGCTAGAAGAGTGCAGTAATTGTTTACAAAGTGTACGTGTATGATAGGTGTAAAATGATTTCAGAACTTATTGGTCAAAGGTTGAATTACCAACAACCCTATGTCGATGTAAGTTAAATAATGAGAAGGGATGATCACGGGTTATGTCCGAAGTATATCGAGAACCTTTTTGAATGTTCCCAAGCTTAAGTGCGTTTCTGACGAATTAAGGTAATGAATATAATCACCGATCTCAGAGAGTTCCTGTATTTTTTCAGCCCTATTCAATTGCATAACCAGTGCAAATTGGCACGCAGTATACAGTTCTGAACTTCGGAACCCAATATGGAACCAAGCATGTCGTCTTTCTATTCACACAGGCGATCCTTATTAACACTTACTTTCCTTTATCGCCGACAAACATTTTACCCGTTGCGAAAACTTCTACAGCATTATTCTATCAGACATTGCTCACTTATTACACACAGAACCTTGACAATGTGTATCCACTTCTGTAACTAGATGTCGTTATAAACCTGTGCCTATTCGTACCACTGCCTACCGTTTGTCCATTATCCCGTATCTTTCGAGGGGTCTTGCACAAAAAGTATCCATCAGAGAAAACATTTTGAAATTCCTACCTAAATGATATCTATTTTGAAGTGTTTACGCCATATTTCTCTTGAATTTATGATGATGTATTTTACTTTTCCTCTGTGACTGTATGCGATCGTGAATGACCCTGGTTTGCAAGGAGTTGGTTGTCCATCCTTCAGGAAGAATGAAGCGATTTGTGTCTGTGACTTGACTAAATACTAAAATCCATGAGGCTAATGAACGGGAGTCTTGAACGTTTGTCGTGCACTTTATTGGTTTATCCGCTCTGTCTAAATTTAACAGTTTTAGGGTTGAATGAAACTGTTTCGGGTTTTATGACAAATAGAATAATCTGAATTGGAGTAATCCACTCCCACAAAATATCAGCTAGTTAAAACCTCAAGGATCCAAAATATAATTTCCTGTATGTCCAAAAGAAGGTTCTCAGATTTGAGCAATAAAAGTCGTTTACAGGTTTATTTCCGTTCATTCAGTGGAAATGTGCGCCATTCAGTTACATCATTCACGATGAAATTGATCTCGCTAGGCTAGTGTTTAGATCTGCATAGGAGATGAATTTATTGATGGAGTAAAAGATACAAGCACCAAATGTTGTAGTACCAGCTTTGTCAAAGAAAATATGGAAGTTTATGTAACGTTCATTTTCATTGTAACTAGCATTTTCTCCATTGACAAAAGGTCCTCAAATTTGGATTCCCCTGCTTTAAGCGAGTGCGAAATATAAACCTTTATTCAGTGCACTGTAAGTATCCATATAGATCATTTTTTTGTGGCACAATGTGTGACATTGATCAATTACACGTCATTTTCAAACGCCATATTACCGTTGTTTATAGAGTTAACATATAGTTAAAACCACCTTGTTTCTATTTTCTCGGCACACACGCTAACATTGCTTGATTGTTGTGCCCATTTTCGTTTATTCGGTAACCAGTGCACGGTGCACTGTTCATTGCTGTTATTCTCACTTCGTTGTTTACTAAGACAACTAGTCCTTTGAAATCATTGGCTTCGTCACATTTAACAAAGTACTGTTTTCCAACGTTCAATCCGAGTACGGCAAAACAACTTTAAAAGCATTCAAATAAAGTTATTCCTTTTTTTCTCTTCATTCGAATTTCATGGGTGTGAAGTAATGTTACTCAGAGGAGCATCTAGGTAAGCGGCCTCGGTTCATAGAGGTCCCGTGTTCGAACCCTACCATTGCTATACTTTCTCATTTTCTATGTACCACATGGCTCTTTGGGGATTATGCGCTCTCGTAATCGAATTGTTCGATTGTTCAATTGGAAAATCCATAAAAAGCAAAGCAAAACAAGTTAAACGAAGAAAATAAATGAGTTCACGATGTCAAAAGAACAAGTTCAATTCGTTTTCCTAGATTTTCCATCAGGGCTTAGAAAAGAAACACTTGTTTGAAGTCTCACGATTACCTGACTACAAGCCTCCGGAACTTTTAGAACAACAGTGAAAGCACATCCAATAACATGTGAGTTTTATTTAGCCTGCATAATGACACTATGTCCAAATGGAATCTCAAACCCAATATATTCAAAAATCAGGCCAGCTTGTGTTGGTTTCTGTAGCAGTGTGTACAGAATTTTTTCTCATCGCATTATTTAGGTGATAATGGATTACATTTGATGGCTGTATTTCTGGAAGGTGTTCGTTCTTAGTTATAAGAAAGTTTGCACAAGTTCCAAGTTAACTTTTCACCTGAAACTCCAGCAATGTGTTTGAATCACAAATACTTCTCATTAGACCGAGGCGTGAAATGGTTCACTGTTCCAACGTCGAGAACTTCAACGCTACAAAGGCCTAGGTATTTTTATTCTTGATATGGTCACACTAAATTGGAGCACGTTCATCCCCAAATAGTAAATATTCTTACATGCGATAGTTTCATTTAACAACAACGACAACTTTCCCGTCGTTTTTTGAGACTCACCAACAATTATTAGCATTTTTCGGCTCCCCTCTTGACTCCACGTACTTCTTTGTCGGTCAAATCAAGATAATATATTCAAATCTCAACGGAATTGGAAATGAATTTTGTCCACTTTTTTCGCACTTCTTCCGCCTATTCTCTTTTCGTATGTGTTCTATTCGCGGACGACGCCAAACCATGGAGAACAATATAACCTCCTGAAGATTAAGAATCCATACAGTAACAGTTGACGCAGCTTACCGATGGTCTACCACTAATGAGATTAAACTCAACGGTGAGAAATGTAAGGTTGTATCAATACGGTACAACGGTTGCTTTCCATATACATTTGGAAATGGGCCATTACCGCATGCTCCAAACGAAAAGGACCTAAGAGATATTTTTTGTGAGGATCTAGGATGTTACCCACATTGTGTTAGAGCGTTATCAATGGTTCTAAAGCAAGCTGGATTACTGGAACGTGTTTTGGACCGCTCTAAACAGATCTATGACCTCGTTCACTATCAGTATAGATTAAAACAAATGCAGAGTACGCTACCCCGATTTAATATTGATGACTGAGTGGTGACAAAAGGCAATCAATGTTCGCAGAGAATAGCAGTCAAAACGGGCAAAGGATTACAATCTAAAAAAATATCTTGGCTGCACATCTTTGAACTCTATTTATCTTAAAACCCCCGATTGAAACCGACCCTCTGAAATAGATGTTCCTATATAAAATACTGCATCAAACTAACCGCCTGCGTGGAGGTCTACTGTTATTATTCAGGACTGTCCACCTCACCTCGCTGTTTCAGAGCTCTTACTAGGGAAACGGCTAAACTGCCGGCATCAATGTTCTAGCAGCGGAGTATGTAATATCTGAAAGAAAGATTACGGTGGTCATAATAAGAGTTAGCATAATTTGAAGATTTTCCAGAGAATTCGGTCCAGTACACTACGTTGAACTTTACGGCTTGGAATCTCGCGCCCGGCCAACTGTTAGTCGGAGATGCAGGATGAGATGTCCTCACTTGTAGTTAAACTTACTCCCAGCGTTCAATTACCTCACCGGCCGTTTTCGGTTTCTTCTCGTGGTCTCTACGGTAACAGGATAACAATAGATTATCGGTGTTCGAACACCGCTGCCTACGTCGCATTGAACCAGTCCGGTGGGAAAACCGGACGAGCAATGCTGAGGTTAGGCGTAGAGTTTTAGGCATTAGCGGTCGTCCACTGAAGCAAGTGATCGCCCTTCATAGATTACGCTGGTTGGAACATGTGTTACGCATGTCATCAGAGAGGTTGTCGCGGCGAGCGGTGTTTGCCAAGGTTGGAAGCGATTGTAAAAAAACAAAGGGCGCTCAAGCTAAGACCTGGCATGAGGGTATGAAAACCCTAACCAGGAGACTAGGTCACATAGGTCCCACTAGGCTCCCTGACTGGGGACCTCGGGATGATGGTCACCAATGGTTAGAGACAATGAGTGATATGACTGGGTGTCGGAAACAGTGGCTTTTGTGCATCCACTCATTATTCCCTATCTCTGTTCTACGTGAATTCCCCATCTTATGTTTCAATTGGCTTTCAACATTTCAATCTTCATTCTGCTCCTTTAGTCAAATGTGGCACCAGAAGACAGCAATCAAACCGGCGCACGAGGGTATAGGGTTAATGGTTGTAAAACTTGAAACTAAAACTTTTTTTCTCGAAGTTGTATTCAGTGTAATCAAGTCGCGGGTCGATGAACCACTGAAATAACCTGCGGATGAGCGTCATAATTTGTTGTTTATCATTTCATTGTACTGCCAACCGAAGTCAGTATATATTATCTATGGGATTCAATAAGCTTCAACTTTTTAGGTTATCCTTAATAAAAATTAGAATTTAAATTTGAGTTTAAACTTTGTGGAACCAAGGGGCATATCCGTATTGAAATTGCCGCACATAAATAAATGCCCTGCAGTACACAATTTGAAAAATTCATATGGGCATAGCAGACATCGGATTTTAAGCGATCAACTTACCTGACGAATAATGTCAACAAAAAGAGTGATGAAGTAGGTCATGGTCACAGCTTCCTCCACGGTTATTTGAGTAGATATAATTTTGAACAGAAGTGTATAGGAGAAGAATAGTAAAAACGCAATATATGCTATCTGAAATGAAAAGAAGCGGGACCTGTGTCATGACTGTTTCGGGTGGTTTGTAAATAGTGACTGAGCAGAAACATGTACACTTAAAGATCTCATAGATTCCTATGCAATAAACGTCAATTAATTGTGGTGAATATCATCTAATAGAGAGCAAAACATAAATTAATTGAATATAGAGAATGCACTTTACAACTACTTTAGTCTTGTCTTGGTTGTTTCACCTTTACATGTATAAAGAAACACATCATTTACTCAGATTAAGCCCTCATTACTCCTTCTATCAAACATCCACTGTTTTCCCAATAAACTACTCGTTGAATACATGCAGTCCGACGCAACTTAACAGGCTGTTTGTCCATCGACCAAAACAGACGGTTAATTGAACCTAATCAGTAAAAAGTAGAAACGGAGTTAGAAAAGAACAGATTTCAGTCTAGTTCCACTCTTGACAAGCTCAGTCCTATTTTGACAGTCTCAAGTCAAGCATACCAATACTATCCGACTTCAGTGAGCTTTTTCCAATATCAATCTACAGCCTATCTATTGTGCGAAGGTTATTGTAATACGCCGGTAATGTCGCTCTGATTCTGAAAAGCGTATCATCTGTAAATTTACGGGATGTTCTTTGAATACCTTAAGTGGAAATCATCTATTGTTCATTGATAACAGCTTATAACTCCGTTGAATTAGGGTAGTGAAAGACTAAATTTTCTGTATATCTGAAAACCACATCATACCTGGTAGTACACAGAAGAAAAACCCTAGGAAATGGTAGAGCCTACCTGCCCTATTCTGGCTCGATACAACTGTTGGGTAAATTATGCATCAGGTTATTTTATATAGGTCGGATATACGGCAAAGAAGTGCGCATATGCCGGCTGCATGCATGAGAACCGTGTATTGAAGGCATTGAAGATATTTTTGTTGAAAAACTTTAATTGGACGCCGCTGCTCGAAATTGGTGGGAATATCTCATGAGCAACTGAAGTGCTAAACAAGGAAAGCACCATTTGTCGCATTCGCTCTGAGAAGTTGGTCGCATACTGAGAATGCCGGCTTATCGGTATTTGCAACTAAGCGACCTATTTGATAGATCTGTTACGGATGAAAATTTTCTGAGAAGATAATTATAACTTTTCTAAGGTGGTTGGTGAACACAGTGTTTCCACCTAAAATCTCATGCTGAAGTACAGGTTGATGCGTCAGCAATGTGGAAGCTTTCTGATTAACAACCCCGTAGGATATGGTTTGTGTCGGGATATAGCGACGCAGCTATTGAAAAGTTTCCTTTGTATACTCCTCAATGATAACCCAGCTAACTACCTCAACACAAACATCGTCAGGCTCACTACGATGCTCAACCTATTGAGGCTTTATAAGGTTTACCACTCCAAGTCTCAGGGTTGGATTGCCGGTCTTCTCTCACACCACAAATGAACAATACAACTCACAGAAATCACAGAATGCCCACTCTACCAACGAACTCACAACACTCCATAGCCCTCTCTAACATTCGTAGTTTAAATCGAAACGTTAATTCTGTACACCACTTTCTACAATCTTCTTTCCCCTTGGCTTTATTTTCGATGGAGACACAAATCTTCCCCTCGTCAGACACTACTCATCTTCAGTTCCAGTTCTTCTAATTACTTCCTTCATTCTTCTTTTCTTTCTAAAGCTGGTGCCTGCGCCTATATCCATCATTCTGTCGCTTCTTCTCGACTTTCACACGTATACTTCTCTAAACCGTGAATTTTAGCTTATATGGCTAAAACATCGATTCCCTTCTTCAAACCACTATTTTTGTATCGGTTACCGCTCCCCGAACAGCAACGATTATTCTATTTTTGATATTCTGTCTTCCAACATTGAGACACTGATGTCAGCATATTCTAACAGCCAAATACCGTTGTCGGAGATTTCAATGCCCACAACAAAGAATGGCTGAAGCACGCCTCAGACACTACGTTCATGGGAACGCGAAGCCGAGGCATTTGCTGTGGTCAACAACCTAAGTCAAGTATTTGACCTCCCCACACGCGTCCTTTATCGTATTGGTGACCGCGCCTACACCCTTGACCTCATTCTCACATCCATTCTCTCTTCGTTCTCCAAAATCAGTTTCCTTTCCCCATTAGGCTCATCGAACCACTGTCTCATTTCTTTTCTCTCTCATTTCTCTCACTCCATTTCACCACCAAATTCCAGACGCACCTTTCGGCATTACGATTCAGCCAACTGGGACGGTTTTCGTGACTTTTTGGCTTGCTATCCTTGGAAGGGTTTTTATTTTAAATTGGATGTTTTCAAGTCTGTTTCAAACTTCACGGAGATTGCTCTTTAAGGCATATATCTTTATATTCCACACTTCTCCAAACCCGGCAAATCATTATCTCTTGAGTGGTTTATTCATGCTTTCAACTGTGCCGTACGTTTTAAAGGCT